ATCCATCCATCCATTCTGAATCCATCCATCCTGTATCCATCCATTCATCCGTCCATCCATCCATTTATCTGATATCCATCCATCCGGTACCCATTCTATTTTTATTGGTCTTAGGGACCCCATCTGCCAATAGTGAATCCGGCTATTCCCTAAATTTTTTGGCCTTACTTACTCCTTACCTAAAGTAATGCAGAGTGAAATTGAGCCCCGTGTTTGTACTTTCGAATGTTACAAGTTCTACGCCTATAAAATCACTTTTTTTGTGAATCATGGCGAAATTTTTAAGATTAGTACATAAAATAATGTGAAAAACGTGATTGGCACGTAATCCGGGGTCGATCTGTCTATCACGAGGTCATTAACACCCTCGCATGCCTCCAAATAGCCCTGCGGTTTGAACTTTCTTAGACAATAAAATGTCAGAGCACCTTAAATTCGGGTGTTTTTTGTATTTTCCGTAATAATTAAACTAATTTGTAAATTCTACTCCTTTTTATGTCTCGTGTCAACAGACGAAGCGCACGCCGAACTCTGCTACGCCGAGAGCCTCCTCCAGTGGGTATTTCTGGCTGTGTTGCAGGACGAGAAACTGGTGACCCTCATCAAGAGCTCCATCAAACTACGGGAATGCTACAAATGCTACAGGTAATTTCCCCCCCCCCCCCCCTCCTTGTCATCCCTTTTGGTGAAGATTTGTTCACTGACAATCATGGACATAGGTGTAGCCTAGGCACTTCAGTCATACATGCAGGCGTCCTAAGGAGGGAGCAGGCTCAAGGAGGTATAAATAAGGCGGAAAACATGTCACGTCACGTAGAGGTAGTCAAGTAGTCCACTTCAAGGCCATCCAATGTTTTCCAAACCTTCGTTGTCAGACAGGATTGACGGTGATTGGTTAGTTCTCCCATCAATTATCCTGCCTCCTCTTGGGGAGGAGATTTGACAAAGCTGCTTCAAATGAGGCTCTACTTTAACTGTCAAACAATGTTAGCTCAATAACAAATGATCAAAAGCTTTCTGGAGTTGTTTATAAGCCCTCTCAATGACACGATAGTCGTTAGTGGGCTCTCGCCTAATTCCAAAGCTGCAGAAACTTCTTGTCAACTTTGTCTGACTTTTGAAGCACGTAATGGTGAATGTGTCCCTCCCAAGAGGCTTGCCTCCTGACAGAACGCCTTTTGAAGGTGTAGCAAACACATCGCCAGTTAGCTAGTTCTAAACCATCCACTCACTTAACCACGCTTCCAAGATACGCACTACTTCTCTCTCAGAAGGTGGTGTTTGCTCTCTGCCTGTTTGGTTGTACTTTAGGCACAATTATTTAGTTGAAATGGGTCATCTGGTGAGGGTTAAACAGTTATTTACATCCGAGTTCTACCTACTCGAGAAGAGGTCCAAATAATCTTTTCTAGCCTGAATGTTGGAAGAATGTCCCATTCAAAGTTTTCCAATACTTCATTATTGTGTTTTAAATCATCTCATGGGGTGATCTGCACTCCAGAATGGAGTGTCACGAAAGGAGAGAGGGAGGAATACTATGCCTTGTCCTCATCTCCCGTATTCGCCCTAACATACAACTCTCCAGGCGGCGATTGTAACCTTTTCCTGATGTGGAGTTCGATAGGCGATGAGAAATGAGGCAAAATTGGCTAAGGTGGGATTTTTGTCATCTCCAGACCTGAAATGCAGTAACTAGGTTCCTTACCACCTCCATTTACTTTATTACCACCCAGTCCCTTGTCTCCTTTGTTTTTGACCTTAATTGAACGGAGTGGACACCTTTTTTCATTGACAACTTTGTCATATTCAACTTCCTCCTCGACGTGAAGTAGGTATTAAGTCGTGTAAGCAGTTTTCACCTTCACAGCTTCTACTACCCTCTGGTTGCCTTCCAGATGTCGCATTTTTTTCTCAGACGTAGGCCTTCTCTTAAGCCATCAGAGGCAGAAAGCATCTCCTTTCCGACTAGTACGAGACGCCGGCCATATTCAACCCCACTACCGCCATGACTACCTCCCACCTTCTGCTCGAAGGTGTTTCAAAACATTAGAGAACTGGATTGCAGGACAGAACTGAGAGGCTAGCAACATGGAATGCTTGAATTTCCCTCCATCCATCTTAAAGTCTTACTTTAATCAACGCGACATTAGGAAATGTCAGAAAGAGGTGGAAAAACAAATGGCTTGCATTTCAGGACCTGTTGGAAGATCTACAAGAACAAGGACTGGGAGGATCGACCCACGCGCGCGTCCTTTGAATGCGGTGTTCTAATGGGCGTTGGAGCTTTCAATCTGGTTAGTCTTGACTACTTATCATCTGCCATATCATTTGCCCCTTCCATCATGCTTCTACCTTCGTTAAAGATTATCGTCTCCCTTAAAATTCTCTTTAGCTGCTTTGTCAAGTTTCTTCTTCTAAATCTAGGCTATTTTTAATGGTTGGCCGGTCTTCCCAAGTCTTAATCAGTCGCATCAGTAGACAATTGGCCAAATAAGTAGTATATGTATAATTTCCTTCTTAATCTTCTGGATACAGCTAAATTAATACACGAACGCCAGGGTAAGAAATAATAGGGTTCTGCCACATTGAATTCGCAGTGAGATCTAAAGTTTCCTTTTGTATTTCAGCTCCTCTCCTTGCTTCCCTCCAAGGTCCTCTCCCTGCTGGAAATAGCTGGATTTTCTGGGAAAAAGGTAAAATCTCCTTCCTCTTCTGATGTCATTTGCTGAAAAACTTGGAGTGAGAAGTAAGTGATGCCTCATAATCGGTCAGCACGGTGGAAATTAGAATCTGTCACGGGGGAGCAGTTGACATCCACAGCTAATGAAACATTTCATCGCTCCTATCCGACATCCAGATTGTTTTTTTTTTCGCCCCAGTTTAATACACACTCCTCCTAATTTGCCGTAAATTACGGGAAAAGTTATCAAAAACGCGGTGTCACATATTTGTGGCGTTGGTAACGAACGCGTTAGCAGTGTCAGATTTGAATAGTAAATGTTTCTTTATTCTCAAATGCTTTTTTTCCAGGAAGTGGGTCTTCAACTTTTACAAGAGGGCAGCAAAATTGAACACGGCGTTCGCGACTCGCTCTGTGCACTAATACGCCTTGTATATGATCTATATGCCACACAGATGACCGGTAAGTTTGCACCGTTTTATTAAAACAATTTCCACCTCTTTGTGCTGTTCTAGTTTGTTTACGTTTTAGGCAAAGCATACTTATCTTTCTGCATATTTGTTTGCAATTCCTCGTAGCCTTGCAAACATCCAATCACATTTGGCGATGAGTAGTTTAAGCTTTTCATTGGCTAGTCGGAGAGCAGTGTGCTTGTCACACATACACATGTGCACACCTTATAGATCTGAGGCATGCATTGCGTCATTTTTACACCAAATCACAACAATTATTGTTGTAAAAAGGTCCCGTTAAAATTTTACGCAATTTTGACAGATACTAAGCCGAGACTGCGTCAGTTTTCATCTTTGTTGCGAAACTCAGGCTAGGTAGAGACACTACCAAACTGCTAACCAACCAGACTTCAAGAATCACTATCGTGCTCTATGGTGTCTTGCAAGGGCACTTCTTGAATCATGTTATTTAAACAAAGAACCCTCTTATTCATTAGTTTGGTTAGGAAAAAAGTATCTAAAATTCTAACACAATTTAGGCTAGGTTAATTGTTTGTCTGTAAATCAGAGTTACTGGCTACCAAAACAGGACAAATTACATAGTCCTCTTGTTCAATTTCGTAAGATTGTAACTGTACCTCCAGGTGATTCATGCTTTATCTACCGTAAGTTTGGTTAATTAACACAGTGAACACATTTGCACAGGAGAAATCACATGAAAAAAAAACAAAAGACGTGCTTTTTGTTTACCTCCGCAATTAAAATGCACAAAAACATTCATCCACGCTACATTCACAGGTGATACTGCATGTGATGCAAGTGAGTGTTACAATTTTTGCCTCTTTTTAAGAAGTTTACACAAATCCCCTCTTCAATCACTTTTGCCACCCTCTTTAATCTACCTTGACTAATTTTCATTCCCGTATTGAATCGCATTTTTTAACCGCGCCTCGCTTCGTCTGCGCTTCTGTTAAAATCTCATCACCAGATGTGTAGATTCAATTTTATAAAAAATCGTCTGCATGTTATTTCTAAGTCATAGATGTAAGCTAGCATCAGAAATGATTTGAGTTTATTTGATTAAGCACTATGAATGTTGCTTGCATATTCAATCAAACACCACGGTTACATTATCGTTTATAAGACCGCTTTGAGGCAAATAAATGTTAAACATCTTAGGCTTAAAATTTTGGCAGCATGACTTGATTTTCTAGAGGAAGTTGAAATTTAGACACAGTCATTAAGGTAGACGTGTTAAAAAAACTTTGCGACAAATTGTTCTACTGGCCTCTTGGAGAGCAATGTGTTTCATCTAGAATAAATCGCAAGCTTCATTAGTTGTTTTTACTTTCTTTCATGAAATTATCAGCAATTGTAGGCTGTGCCGCCAAGTACTTATCTCATTATTGCATCTACTCAGGTGCTGGCCAATTTTGTAGATAGGAAAAATTCTCATACCTAAATGCTTATGAGATTTTCCCCCCATTTCAATGCTCACCTTGTGTGATTCGGGATGGTCAGCTTCATTTTTTTGGCCTAATTCAGGTTAGTTCTGTGAATTACACTTAAGTAATGTTTTCGGTTGGTTAGAGCAAGTGCTGCGGCGGTACATTTTGCCAGATATGGTTCAACAAATTATGGCCAAATGAATCACTGTTAGATATATTTTGTTCTGGAAGACATTTTGTCCATCGCTCAAGCCTTAAGTGAGAATGTGTGCTTTTTCAACGCATGTTTGGCGTACTAACGCCGTAATTGTTCACGGTGAATCGTTTGCTAGCTGAAGACCAAAAACTGCATTTGAGATTGATTTGATGGGGGCAGCTTGAGGGTAGGCATGAAAACCTTCTTGGTGTCTAGAAAATAATTCAAGATTAGTGATCACGTCGCGTAATACATATGACAGCACTAATCCTTGAGAAAGTATTCAGTGGGGGGGGGGGGTTGAGAGACTTCGTCTCGTTTTCACTCTCGTGATGTTATTTCCTCAAATACCTCTAACTCACCCTTGAATTCGTTTGAAATTCATACAATCGCATGGGGAATTGAAGAATTCATTTGTGAAACTAGTCGTGAGAAAGAAAAGGCGATAACTTAGGGGTCATTCTTTGTGTTTTTTTACAGGCGAAATGTTTGGTAAAATGCATTTTTGGCTTTCGAGAAAACCATTTTAAAAGGGAACGATAGTGGCTGTACAAAATGGGCAGAATGCAATAAGAAGTTGTGGTTTTTTGGCATGCTCGGATTCTGTAATAGTGTGGCAATAACAGGTATCGAAAATTATTTTTCTTAAAGAAAATTCAACTGTGTTTTGTTAATCTTGTAAGGGTAAATATAACTAATGAGTAACCGTAAAATGCGATTTATAATCACTACCTGGAACGGGAGAAAAGCATCTCCTTGGTTTCATAACTGCAGGTGTGCCTAACTCCCATTCTAATCCCATTTACAAATAGGATATAGTAAGACGCCCGTAAACTGTAAGAGAGTAAATTCCGACATACTAAATCCCTAGAATCGCGGAATTTCCACATTTAAGCGGGCAATCAAGTACTCTGGATGTAGTAGTTCCACTATTTAACATTTTTTGTGGTTTTACAATTATATAATAAGTTATATGAAGTAGAAATCAAGATTATTTTGCAAAACACCAATGTGACACTAGCGATTGCCCAGCGGCGAAATCCACCGATTCGAATAAGCTTTCAAGGACGTACAGAGGACTATTACTTCACGAGTGTGCTTTCGGAGTTTATTTAACATACATGGAACTTTGTATTGACAAAATAAAGTGCACGAATACCGATTTATCAAGTTATTTAAAGTATAATAATGGCATACATAACAACAATGGGTGCTTTTCTGCAAAACAAAGGCTTAAACTGGCGTTTTTTATTATATTTATCCAGAGTTGGAGTATGTCGTTAAACTAAATAAAATAAAATTGGCTAGATAATTTAACATTGATGATTGTATATTTAATAAATCTTTTTTGCATCATGACCAAAAATCAAATGACCTTTCATAGGATGGAATATCATGTTGCACTAAAAATTATTCCTACTCAAATCTGTTTATTAAACATATTTCCCTTTGTTAAGTTAATTGTTAATTTAAAACTAACTGCCTTATTAAATTTGATGGATCCTTGCCGATTTGCGTATGAACGTCTTCCCTTCCTTTTCTAACAGCTTAACCACATTCTTATACTCCCTGTGGCCTCGGAGTAATGACCCATGCTTTGCTGGTGTGTAAGCGGACTGAAGGAGTAATAGATGTGAGGTGTATGTCTGTTCTTTTTTCTATTTTAGTTGGGGACGAGGGTGCCGCATTAGCGGACGCTCGCGGCTTGCTTCCAATTTGGATGACCAAGTGTCCAAATAGTGCCTTCTTCCTCTTTCTCCGTGGCCGCCTGGCTACCCTCAGTGGAGATTTTCGTGGGGTATTATCTACTTCTAACCGATTTCTTAGTGTGATTTCTTCTAATACTGCTTATTTTGCTACTTTTTGGCCTCTCTTTAGGCAAAAGACTACTTTTTCAAGTCCATATCCTGCCAAACAGATTTCCAGAATTTTTATCACATTTGCTACTGGGAGATGATGTGGTGTCACTGGTGAGTTAAAGCCTTTCACTAGACGGTGAACGCGTCTTGTAGTGCATATTAACACACAAGTTTAAGACAACCCATTTTGTTTTACCCGTTATCCTCGTGTAGTGTCCAGGGCGAGTGGATGGATGCAATGAAGTATGCGGAGAGGTTGGCCTGTGAGAGCAAGTGGAGCAATGCGACATATCGCTACCTCCAGGCGGTTTTCATTATCCAGTTCCTTGATGAGGAACGCATAGCTGCAGCCCACTCAAATAACACCTCTCGCAAGGCCTCCAGTCCTGCGCCAGTCGACTGCGATCCCAAAGACGATGCTGACGGTGGAGTTTTGGCAAAAAATGTGGAGGATCTGCTTGAGTACATTTGAGTCCAGGCTTTGTAACCTGTAAAAGTGAAGTGTTAGAGCAGTTTAAAAGTGTTATTAGGCTCCCTCAAAGGGAAAATGTCATGTATAAGCACTAATTTTTAACAATCCCGCGGATATTTTTAGAGATGATCTGACTAACATGGAGGTCTTTCACAAGGAGTGACTAACTACACTTTAAGTTAGTTGACCGAGGCAAGCGCCACCTGCAGTCCGTCCCCTCTACGCAACTGCTCCACGGGTTGTACCAGGAAGAAAATAGACGTACCACAACATGTGGTGCTCCGTCTGAGGCAATTTTTTGATCTCCCGATTTGACGAGTGCCTCCATCACCTCATGGCCCAAAAAAATCCTAGTGTTGTTTTAAGTGTCTGGAAAAGATGACAAAAATAATTTATTTTAGGATCAAACTGCTGCCTAGTGAGTTGCCATCAGCACAAGATACCGTGGTTGTCAATTAACTTCTGATGATTCTCTTACCTTTCAGAAGTGTTCCTCAAATGATTCAACGAATAGCAGGAAAGTCCCTTCCCATTGAAAAATTTGCCTTGAAGAAGGCATTGAGGTTCTTTGAACAAGGCAAGAGACTTACTCTACCCGGTCTTGTAAGTGTATTGCGCGGTTAAGGCTTTACGTAAGGACGTTCACGTCAACCCGGGATTGATGAATTTACACGGAATAATGCGTTAAATTTTGTGGTTTAGAAGGAGTTGTCGGTGTGGTTAAGCCATTTCGCGAGGCTCCATGCGAGGTTAGCATTGACACAAGGACGTACGACTGCCCTTGACCTTTTAAATCATCTGTTTTTGAAGTCTTATTTGAATGCATGTAGATATGTGGGGGTGTTAAGCACTCGTTTCTAGGAGCCTTTATCATCGGCTCTGGACTAACTGTTGAAAATTGGCGGTGATTTTGGTGAAGAGAATTTTGTAGGGCTCCTGCTACTTACTACGATATCAGCATCCCCTTTGAGAATCCCTGTTTGACTTGAACCCACATGTTCCCCTCTTTTTTGGTAACAAGCAAGTCTTCTTCATTTTAGGAAATCATGTACCTCTGGAGTGGTTTCAAACTCATTAATGACAATCGGGATCTGGTGAATAAGTTCCTCCTGATAATCGAGGCCAAGATTCACAGTCTCGTTGACAACCAAAGTAAATTTTCAGGACTCCTTAGTTTGATAAACTAGTCAAAAAAGAGGGGCGGAAAACATCCTTAGTTCTTTTTTTATAGAGAACATCACCAACTACACAGAAGACTTCTGTTTGGCCACTCTCCTCAAGGGCGTGTGTCTTCGGTGTTTACGAAAGCGCTTCCAGGCAAGGATGTGTTTCATGGAAGTCCTTATGAAGTAAGCTTGTAAAGTAAGAAAAGCGAAAGTGAATGAAAGATAATTTTCTGATTTTTTTTCCTCTACCTAGTGAGAAGGCAATACGTCTGGACAGGTACCTTCTACCCTTCAGTGAGGTCGAGCTCTGTCAAATTGCCCTGGAAGAAGGTGAAATTGACGAGGCCAAATCCCACCTTGACAAGGCGTGGTAAGTCCTCATGCCTGTAACCCTCAAGAGAATGCCCCTTTAAATCGGTTCTTTTGGGGTGAATTTAGGAATTACACTAGGTACAGCCTGGAGGCGCGGCTCCACTTCCGTCTGCACTCCCTGAGCGCACAGATAAAGGCCCTGAAGAATCCCAAACTACGTGGCAGTAAGAGTTTGCAGGCCACTCCGGTGAATTCGTGGCACAATGGACTCAATAAATTCTCTGACAATGATGAAAATCCCTTCGACATTCAATTTAACTCCTCACTTGGCAACTACGATGACAACCAAATTACCCTTGAACTGTAGGCTATCCGTTCTCCTCATTCACCCCCACCTTTCCTTTCTCTTCTTTCGCCTTGAAATGCCACCTTCTTTTTTCTCTGCTTTGTAGAAATGCCGAGAAGTGAGGGATGCCAAGTGACAGGAAAAAACATTGTGAATAGACTGACTTTCCACAGGTTGGGCGAAAGCGAACCGCGACACCCTTTGTGAATAAGTTAACGCCTTCAATACTGCTACTTCTAGCATAACTGTGGTTATTTTTGAGGAAGAATGTATGCCTTTTCGTATTATAATTGATCTCTTTCTTTTTGGACTCACATTTTTTCCTGTTGGATATCGAAAAAGGACAAGGGGGGGAAAAAAAGTGCTGATTGGGAGATTAAGGAGGAGAGGATGGGATACTGCCACATCCTTTGGCTCATATTTCCCCAAGGGGCGCTTGTTACCTTGGATGAAAATGAGAAGGTTCTACTTGGAGGCAAAGGTGGAAGTAAAGAACGTAGGTGATCAAGCTGAGATCCTGCCCTCTGCAAGTAATGCAACACGCAAGATTTCGGGAAGCCTTTCTGCCGAGGATAGCCTTCGACCAGAGTAGATGGCCGATTTATGCCCATGTAGGTTCTATTCTAGGCAACACTGTAAGCGGCCGTAAGGATAGTGGATCCACCCTACCACCAATTTCACTCCTGAAGACCTTCCGGACAAGGTCCAAATTTCATCGAGTTTGTTTGAGGGCTCAACTTGTCTACCTACGACTCAATTCGGAGCGATCGCACTCCACCCAAATCAAATCATTCTACACCTCTAAAAATAGCCCACTTTTGCCACCCACTTTTTTGACCAAAGACAATGCCACATATACGGGCAAGTACTTGCCTCTATGCGTGGAATGGTTGTATTGGATAGGTAATTGAAGAGAGCACTGCACATAGCAAATCAAAAGGCGTCCACTTTCATGTGAATAAGGAAAATAATAGTTTTTGTTGAGAATGAGATGAAAGAAAAAGAGTGATTCTGCTGCTCATTCCGCGGTATCATCAGAGGCCAGTAGGACACCCTTTGAGCCGCGCCAACTTGCCTGCGGTCTCTCTGCTATCTGACGGAAATGCTAAAAAGAAATGATTTGTTAAAAGATTTGCTACTGAAGTTGCGTAAGTAGAAAGAATTTTCCTCACAGGCCGTCGTAGACTGAAAAGAGCGAGGTCGGGTCTGCGACGTCGGAGGAAGACAATTCCAATGAGAAGCAGAATCAGGAGGATTAGGAGAAGTGAAACTACGATTGCCGTTACGCTGACAACCTTTGGATGTGGTGCCTGAAAAGATTATCACGTCAGTTGAACCATATAAATTCTTTTTGGGTGGAAAACTTCTGCCAATTCTACAAGGCAGAACTTAGAGATCTTCGTATTTAAAAGTGCTGTAGGTCTAGATTTGTCTTTTGACTTACTGGAATGTACTTAAATGTTGCACTGGTATAGTATATTCGGCCATTTGTGAAGAGAATCGGTTTCTCCTCCACCTCCATATCGTTCACTAGCAGCGTCTCCTAGATGAGAATGCAATGCAGACAATCCATAAACCAACATATTTATTCTGAAAAAGAGCGCACAAAATTTTTAGTCGGCCCGTTTTTCCGCTATCCTTCTTCTTATCAACATCCATTACTTCCACAGTGTTATTTCCTAATCTTTGCCTCTAAATCGCGGATAAAGGGTCTTGCTAAACTTGATGAGATCTTTATTATCAGGACCACATTACCTAGTTTGCTTACGCTAGCCGTAAAGCGAACAATCTCTACCCTTTCTACAGGCTCAGCCAACCTGCACTTTATGATATGTGAATTCCGAAAAGCAGGAAGGTAGCTAAGAACGTGATGTAGAATGCAGGGCCTATTGTGTAGCAATGACCTGACATATTTAGAACCGCCTATTTAGCTGCACCAGCTCTTCTGACTCCAGAATTTGTGTCTACTACCTTCTGTGACATGGACCGGCAGTCATGATCATAGTTCCCCAGCTCCAGGAAATGTTTAGAGCCCTGCTAGACTGCACCACAAAGAGCAGCCTCACTCATTCCCATTTCCTTATGATCACATACCGTATTGTTAACAGTAATAAGAGTTCCGTTGAGACTGATGAGGTGAGAGATCGGTGAGTCGATGAATTTACGGTACTCTCCTTCACTCCACAGCATAACGATATGTGAGGAGATTTCGTCGCATGTTTTAAGCAGCTTCACAGGAAAGAGAAAAATCAAATGAGTAAGTGTAGTAGCAAAGAAGAAGAGATAAAAGAGAGATGAGTTTGTCTTCGGGTAGACACTCATCACTACTCCCCGTCAATTTTCCCGATTGAGACGCCAGCAAGGTGTGGATTCACCTAGTCCCAGCTACTGCCTTCGCCATTCATCTCTTTCGCTCAACTGCCTCTTCCATCTCTAAGTTGGCTATATGGTGTTCGGACTATAATATCAAGAAAGGGCAAGAATTCCTCCCTTTTCACGGTCTGCTCAGTTGATGGACATGCCAATGGGGCCTTTTACCAGTTCCTTCTGGGGGCAATAAAATTTAAATAACTCCACTAGGGCTGTTCGCAACCTCAGAAAAACGTGATTATATGAATTTCCAGAAGCAAAATTGTGACGCTACTTTCGTATCATTGTTGGCAGCATTAAACTAAAGCACTAATCGCTCGCAAGAATGTGCCACGGCCGATGTGTCTGGTCGCGTCTTCAGAGCAACCTTAGAGCTACTCCAAAACTACACCACCCATTCTTAGACCCAAACAAAATCTGCATTGCAAACATAGGGAGGAAAACTCCAAACATCTTTGGAGAGGAAGCAAAAAGCAACCTGGGAGCAGATTGAAAGGGTGGAAGGCAATATCAGTAAATTGACAGTGCTTTACATACCTCTGGTGGTGCAAAGAGAATAAAGAACCTCTTTGGCTGTTGTAAAACCAGGGATTTGAAGACCTCATCATTGAAACAGCCAAGATGCTGCAACATGTATTGTGGCAGATCCTTCTCCGCTTGAAGACTCGAGTAGATGTCAAAGTGACACTTCTCGCCATCTTCAATCGTACCGGGGACACAAATACAGGTGGGAACTGGAAAGAGAAAAAAGCATCGCAATAAATTCTTCTGTCAATTTCGTCCATTGGTAGTGAAATAGAAAGCGTTGATAGCAGCTTCATTTTGGTTAAATGCCATTTTATGCCCACATTTATGTTGGACTAAAAACAAAAGAAATTTCCTCGACCAAATCTGGTCGTTTTTCCCATTTCACGTGTTAGTGTTGCAAAATAAACTTTTCTTGGTCCAGTTTAATGTGACAAAAATGTACTGAAGCATACAAATCCCTTTTTTGCAAATAAAAGAAGTAATGCTTTATTTTAATCAGTAAAGCAGCCTTTGTTAGCACATTATTTTCATCACTAAAGGGATTATTTCACCGGAAAAATTCATCTTGTAGAAATTCGTTACAATTTCATGACATTAACAAAGTCATTTTCTGTCTAATCCTGTTTAAATTAAATAACGGGCACTTCTCAATAAGTACCGGCAAACATGACTGACTTCTTTCCGGTTGTCTTAAATGAGTGCAAATAGTTTTGATTACCACTTTGGCTTTATAAAAATTTGCTCTGGTTCCTTTTTTAGCTATAAATATTACTTACTGACTGCTTTAATGATTTGTCTGCAAAACTTGGTAAAATATTTAAACTATTTGGCATTTTCCCTAACTGTGAAATAGGCCAGAAGCTATTTGGGTTCCAGTGGTTTGTACTTGCATCTTCATGGCGTGGTCATCCTCTAATATTTACCCTTCCGGTCTTTATTTTCAGTAAAGTTAAAGCTTTCTACAATAAGATGTAATTTTATAGGCGTTGGTGATTACATTAGCCAAGCCCCCACCTTTCCGATGGCCTTCACATGCTTTAATCGAGGATTTTATTGAATCAACAAATCATAATAGGTTTCAATTAGCTTGTTTTTTAGAAAGTGTTCAAAGACTAGGCCGACCTCAAATTCGCCAATACTGTGTCCTCTAGGTCAGTTCTGTTTAACTCTGACCAAACTGGTCACCTTTATAGCTTCTGCACGTCCAGGTTGCGGTCACTTTGTGACATTGTTAGAGCTCAAAGCTGATACTACATTGGCAAACTATTTATGAGTCTCATCCAACACAATTCATTTTATCCTGGCAGATTTCAAGGCGGATGAGGAAAATTTTCATCCCATGTTCTGCACTCTTATCTCTCCACGCCACTTATAAACATTCAGCTTACTGATATATCTTTTTGGAGAAAAAATCCGCAGCCTCTTTAATAAAGAGTGGAACACACGATCAAGGATGCAACTGGGAGGACCTAGGCCACTGCAATTTGACTTACCGCCTTTCCTGATTTTGCATCTGCTGAAAGGTTGACAGGTGTGTGCACTGCACTGAGGAAGGCAACTAAAGCCATCTCCGACGAATCCCGGTTCACAGACGCATGCCGTTTCCTCCTTCTAGGCATTTTTTGTCAGAAAAAAAAGGAAGCTATGGCATCTATTTATTGTATATTCAAAACCACAAATTCTTGGTTTATCTAATGGCATGACCATGCAGTTTGGTGTATCTTAACACACTAATTAATCAGCTCTACTGCTTGTCAAGTAATTCAACGAGATGCACTAGTGACGCCGGAATCAAAGGTCCCTCACCTCTTAAGGGACCTGTCAAAGTTTTAATGGCTGACACAGGGGAGTGGGCAAGGAAAAGGTCAAGAGTGGTGCTCCAGAAAAAGGGAAACAGGAACTGAATGTCTAACTACACACGTCCACTAGGAATTGATGTCCATGGGTGGTATTATAAAAAATGATAGTCCGAGCATTTTAATTAAAAAACATTTAAGAACGCAAACACAATCTCATTTTCGTGCCAGTTTGTTTTTTCAATTGATTTTAAGGATTTTTTATTTTAAAAATGAGGAATCCCATGAGAACATTCATCCAAAGTCATTAACCAAATCTCTAACGTCCTGATGGTATTAAGCAGGTTGGAGTGCCTACTTACAACAAAATAAGTAGTGTTAATTTCCCAACTCACTGTTCTGCTTATGAACGAGTGCTTCCTGCGTGTCTTGCACTCGGCGTGTACATGGCAGAGGTTGGCGCAGTAATCAGTGAGCGGAGTAATCTGCCGACAGACGCGAACACCGTCGCCAAAGTAACCCTTCTTACATTTGCATGAAAACCGTTTGAAAGGTCGGCAAATAGCGTTCTCGGCGCAACCACATTCACCTGGTTTGTAATGAACAAAAATACACAGATAGAATCTGACCAAACAGGACCCACAGAGTGAAAATGAAAGACAGGTGTTTTGTCAATGGTTTCTTTTTTTTTACAAATGGCGAGAGGAACAAAACTTTAGTGTAAAGCTCCGTATAAATGAGCTCCAAAATTATGGTTTAGAAGCAAGAATTTGGAACAAACGAAGTCATTGACTTCTTCAGACCTAAACAGCTTATTCAGAGATGTTCGGGTGTGCACTTACTACTTGAGACGGTGGACGGCATCTCTCCTATTACTGATTCAAATAAAGCAATTCAAACCCCCTACTCACCAGCCAACCACAACGAGAGCGCAGTGCTGCCCGGTTCAAGCAATTCATGCAGCATGTCACGGTCTTCAGTAGAAGAATTTGAAGTTACAACCTTCTGCATTTGGTGATAGTAGCACAGTGTCATTACTCCTGGCTCTTCAAAAGGCGGTGGCATCCACCGCTGACGCTGGCGCTGCCGCTGTCGCCGTTGGATGCCTTCCTCATCATCGGATCCCTCAACTAGGTAAGGATCCAGCAGAGTTGGATCCAGATACGTCGTCACCTGAGTAACAGATACAGAAGCATGTGTTCCTACTAACAGCAGTAAAGTAGGTGCACTTACCAAATCAGAACTAAATGAGTTTTTTCAATAGTTTATGCGATTTGCATCCCAAGATGGTTTCACCAGTCGATTTTAACACTTCAGTCCCCGTCTTTTAAACCCAAGGCAGATGCAGAAGACGTGAGGGCTGATAGTAAAACCCTTCATTATTTGTATAATAGTAATGACCACGGATCTCTACAGGCCAAAATATTTTCGTTTTTTGCTTTTGAACCACCTAATTGCCGTATTTAAACAGTAGTACACACCACACATAAGTTTATGGATGAATGTAGCAGAATCGACAAAATAGAGGCCAATTTTGGCCATACACTACAATTATTTATCTCCTCTCTTCTATACAGAGCTCTAAATATATTTATGAAGCAATGCTCCCGACACACCTAACTTCCTAGTGGGCTACGCATTTGGTGTGTACTGATGGAATTTAAGTAGTAGCACACGCACGTACATACCTGTTCATGTTCGATAAAGGTGCCTGGAATACTGGAGCATAGGCTGGATCCAGCAGGAAGATACATGCCCCCAGAAAAGCCGGGCAAATCCACCAACAGCTGTTTATCCTCACGGCAGCAGACTGAGTAGTATGTGACAGAACGCGAGTCACTGGGCATGGTGATTGACTGTCCCTCAATTATCTCGCCATAATCGGTGGCGTTGTGAATCGCACGCAGGTAGCTACGTGGTATTCGCATTACCAGCTCGTTAGATGCGTCTGAAATGGTGCGGGCATACGTGCTACTTAAAAAAATAAGTAGCTCAGTCGACAGGCTCACAATAAATAATTTTTCAGAGGAAATCGACAAGAAGGATGCTCAAGTCACATCGGAGCTTATTAAAGACGAGAACAGCTTAGAAATGGCAAAAAGTGAAGCTGTTATTCCCCATACCTCCCCAAAACATTCACTGACATGTTCCAGCAACTTCGGTACCGAATTCTTAAGAGTATGGGAAGCCGTCTTAAGGAAATGAACTTTAAATCATCACTAATTCTAAAATAAGGGTCACTCTAATCTTCCACTGCCTTGAAGCAATTCAGAACACTCCAGTCCATTGTGGGTAAATGAGCCTTTTCAGCTCAGCGCACCAGTGAACTCTGCCATGCCGATCTAAAGAGAAAGCTGTCTGTTCCTAAATTACTCTATCCACAGCTAACACAGACGGCAAATCCTCCTGTGGAATAAAACATCGTCACCAAGTACATCAGTCGTACGTCTAAAGTTAAGTAGTTCTCAAATTTGGTGCATATTATGGGCTGGAAGTCTTCACAAACAGTGACTGCTGCTAACAGACTTTCAGACCATCTCAGTGGAATATTTGCATCGTCCAAGTGTTTTACTGTACTCAAAATTCGTCTGCATTCGCAAGCAAGAAGCTTCTTTCGTCGCTTCACGTTACTTTATGCATCCGCTGCTAATATTACCTGTCGTTGTGATCAACAGCAACTAAACGGTGGCCTACTACTCCTCGTATTCCAGTCGTGTGAACAATTCTCCTCCATTCAACTTTTAGAGTAAAGGAAGATAAAACTTTGCACAACAACTCACGCATTTCAGGAGGACAGATGGCGCCATTCACAATTACACAGTAGTCCCCCTTAGGCCAGGAGATAATTGTTTCACTAGATGATTTATTATTGCGTTGGCAGAAGTGGAGCATGACTGTCGAACCCGAAGCCGATTCTCCGCCACTTTCAATGTCAAATTCCTCCTCGTGGGTGGAGTATTCGTGAAGGATACGATGAAAGCCAACAGGACAGGCGAACTTGAAAGGTGTGGATGAGAGCTCGGAATCGTTGGCATTAAGTGCGTGAATGGACTGACCGCGTTTTCCAATAGGCAGGAGGTAGTCACCAGGAGGCCAGCTTCTACGAGTTTCGAGCCATTCAAGTGGCAAATAGTGACACAAACTATGGATGTGAGGATCCACTGAAGAAAACAACAGAATAACGTATTTTTCGGCCTGCAAAAGAAATAAATTTTTAATTGAAAATGAATTTTTCATTTGGATTGCTCTCATTGAAATGGCATTAAAGCTGCTTATTTAATTCAGTAGTGCGCGAAAGTTGAAGACAAATGACAATCGGTTGGATTTCAACAACCTACGTGTGTATTCTCAATGGGCAAACAGGCAAGCTCAGGTTCGTCAAAAGCTCCCATGAGGAAGAAGTCGCCAATGAAGGGCAATTTCACTGGGAAGGTAGGAGCGCTGCTTGCCATGTGACAGCACAGCTCAGCCAGCTGGCGTGTGAAACGGTGCAGTCCTGTCAAAAAAAAAAATACAGGAGAGAACACTTCTAAAGAACAGTACCAAAGGCGTATAGGAAACACTTTCCATTATCAAGGTTTATTGTCCTTTATGGCGCGTCTATCACTGATCTGCGATTTTGGCAGTTTTGCTACATCTTATTCCCTTGAACCCAGCGCATTCGTTACTGGCATCACACGGCTTAATAAACTCTTCCTTCGACAGAAGTCATTTGATGTAATGACTACTGTTTACGTACAACTGAAATAAATAAGCAGATACCTTGTGGGCAGGTTCTTTTGTGTAAATCCATGAGAACACAGTAGTTGCCAGGTGGCCAATCGGGGAAAGACGTGAGATTGTACGCTTCGGGCACATCACTGGCATTGCGTTCACACGTATGTAACGTCGGCATTGATGTCTCATTGCCTAGACCGAAGACCTCATCGGTAGCTGACGGTTTTTGCGTGAAGTACTCAGCAAATGACATCGGACGGAAGAAAGTATTGGCGATCACGTCCGATCGAATGTTGTAGCGAATGGCCAAATTGAATCCTGGGGGACAGGCGAGCCTGCCATCCTCGCGTATTGTCGTGAGAAGTGAATACGAACCCGCTGGCCAGGCTGTTCCGTTATTCTGTTCCACTAATGTGAAAGTTAGGTATTACTTAAAAGGTTAAAGTAAAAAGTATTTTATCAATAAAATCAGACGCTTACCCTCTGGTGTAGGTTTAGATTCAGGAACGGCTGAAAGAGACCGTGGAGATATGATTTGAGAAGTATTGCTCGTCTTTAATGGACGAAAGACCCAAAACCAACGCTACTTTGACTCACTTGATTCGTAGTAGCAAAGGTTTATCTTCACGTTGCAATGATCAGTAGACATGGAGAGGGTTGGTGTGAAGCCCTCAATGTGATACGTCTTGTCCACAACCTCCATTTGGAAGGCGTAGGAGTGGACAGTGCCTACAAGAAACTCGGGTGCATCCATGCATATATACTCCTCGGTTGCACGCAGTCCAGCTATCTCCTGACACGTCTCTCCAGCTCTGTGGGGAAAAAATGATTTTATCGATGAAATATGTTGTCTTCTCGCTGCGATACAGGTTCATCATGTTGTTGTCCTCCCTTTCTCACCGATGAATACTCGCGGTTAGAAATACTGAATTAACACGATAAAACAATGCTTACTACATGACGGGACCCCTGTGGCATTGCAAACTTTATTACTGATCTTCCAGCCTTCATGCCTTTTAGACACCTTTAGGGGTAATTTAGGCGGTTTAATAACTTTACATCATTAAGCACTTATAAATTTTAATAACTCTGGCTCATATTCGCTGATCATCAACCTACCTGTATAGATAGAACGGTCCGGTGTCATTCGGGAACCCCGTGATAGGAATTAATGCTGAAGGTGAATCTGCACGACAGCAGAACATGTAGGTGACACGATCGAAGGACAAACCGGTGTCGGCTTTCTCTACCTTATCACGAAATATGCGTGGCGCATTGTGTGTCGATACCTCAGCACCCATCGGTAGGTCAGAGATGTCTATAGTTGCAGGATCCACGCCTTCTTCGGTTTCGTTGGGTTTGAGGAGACCTTCAAAGACGGAGAGGCTTCCAGCAGTGAATCCTGAAGAGGAGACAAAGTAAAATAGGAGAGTTTTTTGAAAAGGACGGCAATTCAATTGCTTAGACCCTTCAATTGGCCAACATTGGATAGCCGTACTGATCAATAACGCCTGACGCCAAGGACTGATTGCGAAAGGCCCCAAGAGTAATACTTACTGTAAGAGAGATAACGCAATCGCAAATGTACAGACTCCTCAACCTTCAGGTGATTCGCGAAGTCTACTCATATTTATGGTCCTCCCAGTGCTTCAGTGTGGATCTCTCAGGCCTGCTTCCAGCCTGATATAACTTACTAGATCGTCGTGGGGCACTCAAGACGCTACAAGAAGAGTCTTACCGGCTGGACATCGTCTGCCGACGAGAAGGACGCAGTAGTGTCCCGGTGGCAGAGAAGTGGTGTGTTTCTTATTCCATTGAGATGGTGAGGTTTCAATTTCTCGGTGACAGTAGCTCAATTTTACTGCGCGGGAATGTGCGATGAAGTCACCTGCCAGATGAATGGGCTGAAGAAGTGAAAAGACAACACCTCCAGTGATCAATTCTGCTTGAAATGCTGATTACTTCTGGGGTGTGGTGAATGGATCCGTCTTAACGGATACAGTGACAAAACCCACGTACCTGTGAATAGTGGAAACCATTACGACCTTGAAGGTGGATGAAGGTGGTTGAGGTGAAGTCCGGTGGACATCCGGTTACTGGCTGCGGAATGGCATAGTTATCAATTGGCCAGGCTAACAGGGTGCAAAATAGAAGCCGTTCATTATTCCACTTACTAATGTGCTACTAGACCTGAAAAGTGCAAACGTCACATATGTGTGACGCAAATAGTGAGCCTGTTATATGCATAAATTTCACCACTTGAGTCGTTTTATTGTCCACAAAAGTGCAACTTACAAACACCAGTGTTCGGTTCTGCCGGTCTGTTCGTCTGATATTCACAGAAAATGGCATGCAGTAAGCCATCCTGCAACCACATTCCCGTTCTCCTTCCAAACGCTTCCTTACTGTCATTCATGCCTGCAGTGACATTCAAAAGGTGATGGATCGAGGGCCTTGCAATCAGCGTCTTGTAGCGTTTAGGTCGCCACATTTTGACAAATCGTCGAATGAGTGAGTACTGCTGAAATTCAGGACATCCCTCGTCTGTTTCGGGTTGTTTCAAGTCCCGATGCAGTTCTGTAGGCGCAGCTAAATCCTTAACCTTTTCCTCATCACCTGCACTTTTACGACCGAGGGTGACAATAGCACGCACGTGCTCTGGCCAAGTTGAAACACGCTGGAATGTTGTCGGCGTGTTCTGGAGGTGGGAAGGTTGTTTGACACAGCAGACGATGTATTGCTGGTAGGGGAATGCGGACACCACCTCGAAATCTACGGTGTAAGAAAAATGGGTGAATGGATGGATGGATACGTGGTGGACGGTCCAACATGTGAATGAGACACAGCCGTACACCCTCCCCTACTGATTCAGGCAGGTAATATTCATCCATTCAACTCACCTTCATTAGGACATGTTGCAAATACTACGAGACAGTAGTTTAAGTAGCCGTGCTCCGTTCTTGTAGGCACTTCAGTTCCGCGCACCTCGTTATAGCAAAGTTCCATCGCGTCGTTGGATGAGAAATCTTGCATCGGTGTTGGGATCAGCCACAGCCTTCGATGGCGCATCATGAAGTTGCGAGCTCGAGAAACTGGAAAAAAGTTTGGGAATAAGCTGCTCTTTCTGCTGTCTTGATTTGAACAATCGGTGCGAAATCTCGGATTTTAGGTTAAATCATCGAAGCTCAAGAATGTGCGGCTTTCAGTTGACAGAAGTCGACAAAATCCAGTAGATCCATGTCGTTTAGGCTTACCCGAGTTGAGGGCCCAGTTGTCACTACAGGTGAGAACGATTTCTGTTTTACCACGAAGATTACTGGGAAAAACGCGACGAGGCCAGACCACAATTGACTCCGGTTGTTCTATAAGTAAAAAGGATTGACGACGCCAAAATAGGAAGAGAAGAAGTTGCAGGACTACTCACAAATATAGTGAGTAGTATTGAGTCATGTAAGTGAATTTTGCAATCTGTTTTGCCTGAAAAGTGAGTTGGTTTTGGAAGTTAAAAGGAAAGTTAGCACTTTAAAGGGAGGACGGCTGGGAGATAATTACACCACCAGAACTATGGAGGAGCGACTTCCGGTCGTCCGCCAAGTACTGTAGTCTGTAAATTGACCAGAAAGCCCAATTTTTCCGCCATCAGATGAGCCGTGGACACTGGCTCAAGGATGTGGGAGTTGGCAGCTAATTTTGCGCAGTGACGGTACTGCAGTCAATGAAGCTCCTTTTTTCTGCCTCATCAAGACAGTGGATGACGAGGACCGATGGTCGCGCCTCCACTCGCATCGCATCTCATCGAATTGAGGCAATTTTAGATAGAATGCGGCTAGCCTATCGTGACACTCCAGTTGTCACCACTACTTAGAGGGTCATCGGGTATAAGGACAGCTCGCGTCTCATTTACGTGCCGCGGCCGAGGCTGACACCGAACAGGAGCAGCAGCAGCAGCAATCAAGAACTCAACAAATGGAGGCGCAGTAGTGGTGTTAAAATGACCGCACCGGGGCAATGGATGCAGAGTACTTTGGCCACCTAACTATATCCACAATTACAAAGAGGAGAATCCCTCTTGTGACTCACTTGACCCTTCACCCAGCCCCCCTCACCTGGACTAAAGTACCAATCTTTTCATAGATCACCTTTGCAGTACGTAGTCCAACCGCCCCCATGCAGAATTCTGAACCAAGTTTCCACGACCCAAGGTGGCTTACAAATCTATAAGCTGTCAGTCGAATCATCTAGCATTGTGGATTCGCGATGGACGCCTAACCACGATATTATTTGATCATAAGACAAGCCTGTGAAAGGAGGTGCAGGCGCCGTCTTTGCAGATGACAAAACGTAAACAGTAAACAATCTTTCATTAACTGAGGCCGTCAATTATTTGGGGCATTTAAACTAACCTGTGATAGGCGTATACTCACAGAATCCCTTGGTCTGATCCACTGTGAACCCGACAAAGCTCTGGCAGGATGCCTGTAGTGCAGGCAATGCAAACGATGCCGTTATGTTGAGCGGCAGTTCAATGGCACCCAGCGACTCCTCTGACTGACAGCAGAGCTCCTTTTCGTCGTTTAAGGCCGGCGAGGGCAGAAACATCGTTTGGAGGAGAAAGGAGCGAACTAGTCCTTCGAAAACGCTGGTCTGCAGTTCAGGAAGACCTACAGAGTGCAAGGAAACAGGCGAATGTGTATGTTGAACTGCTTACTCGCTGGCAGTAGGCCTTGTGAGGGTAAAGGACTCTCAAACTACAAAATTCTTCTGCGCAGAACTCACCAAAGCTATCAATTTCCGAAGAATTTGGTACAATCAGATAGGATTTACCAAGGCATGACACGTGTCACATATATGTGACGCCAGCACCTGACCGTCTTAAATGTCTCGATTTTAAGTTACATTGGTACCTCGCTCCATTTTTTGACACCGCTGATGCTGTGAACAATCTATACAGGCTTAAAAGGACTACGTTCAGGAAAAATATGCGCCTGTAGATTGAAATGACTACAAGTTGAAAATCGACCACTTAATTACCGGGTGGACAGACTTTCGCAGTTCTGTAGAAACAATAGGATCCAGTAGGGAAGACGATGTTAGTGACATTGACAGCACAGGTGGTCCCAGCATCGTGCAAGGTATGAACGGTTGGAACGGGACGTTCACCTACCCCTCGACAGAAGCCTTGTGGAGCAAGAATCCCAATTTCGTCTACAGCAGAGAAAAAGGAGGAACTGTAGACTTGACACAAAAAGAATGGAGTCTGATCCCTCAGCGTTCGATTTAAAAATGTATTTTGACAATGCTTGGCGTTTGCCCTAGGAAACAGGAACAGATAAGGTAAATCGCAATGTCACACATATGTGACGCTTATGGGGAACACGCTAGGCTTAAATTGCCACACTTCCAAGCAAAGAGACGAATTAAGAAGTAAGCGGCTAACTAGAGGCGCTTAATTTGAGGCACACTAAGGTGTTCTATCCATGATGATGGAGCGTTCCATCAGTTGGGACATCTGCTCTCCTTTGTAGAGCACTGACCTGTTCCCATTCAGTGAATGAAATGCGTGGATGGGGACTGCTCGATGAGGAGAAGTGACATACCTCGGGGTTGAGAATACTTGCAGAGGGCTAAGACTCCTCGCACCCCGCTCATGGATTCTACAAAGTCGACTGGATTGTTCTGACCAATCAACTCCAGCGTCAAGTAGGACTCAGACTGCATTGTTGGTCTCTAAAGGGTTGCACACCGAAAAAAAAACAAAAAGAAACAGACTTGAAAGGTTAGGGTTAGCAAGTTGTAATCTGGAGGTATCTATGCAATGACGGCCTGCTCAATCATTACATTTTCTTCTCTGCCACCTTGGGATTGACTTCAGTGAGAGGGTCGGAAACGAATCGTCGTCCAGGGAGGACACTTTAATTTTGGAGCCTTTTGCATGGGAGTAGCCTTTTATCTCTACATCTTATATCAATCGTTCAATTTAATGCGGGATTTTTTTGGTTAACACCAGAAAAGGATGCGTATGTGATGATGCCAATCAGGACACAGATTTTGGGGTCAGTCCAGTCTAGACATCGACCCCGAAACCATCAACTAAAAGGCTTACTCCTTAACGAAGGCGCATGATACAAACCGTCAGGTAGCTACTCTTGTAAAGAAAACTTCAAGCACAGTACGAGAATGTCATGTTGACACCACTGTACCTGACCAAAACTTTCAAAAGATGACTACCCTGGCAACACCGACCGTGGAATTCGTGATTCCTGCGAAAATCGGATCAGGCTGTGCAACACCTTCATCCCAAATATCCAATCGACGCAGTAAACGAATTATTCTGTAGATAAGGTGGTTGAAAAAATTAATTCAGCCTCCCTTACAGCCAATGTCTAGGCTTCTGAGGTCAACTCCCAACAGTCCCTGTTTGTCATGAACGCCCATACCGAAAGAAATTAAAACTGCCTAATAGACTTACAAAATCCGCAGTTAGTTTAGTTCCTCGATCAGAGTAATCTGGGCAGCTTCCGCTAAGGATTAAAATGGCAAAAGTTGGCACGGATCGGAGGTAGTAGGGGAGAGGGAAGGTCGGAGTGGGACCGCTGGAGCTATCTGTCCTATCTGTTGCTGATGAAATCGGTGATCCATTGCTGGCTAAAGTGGCACCCCGACGACAGCAGAAGTATATAGTTACCGATTCGAAGTCGTGGGCTGATGCATTACCGCCGGCCCAACGCAATTCAGTCTTATCGTAACCTAGGGGGTTACAAATAGTTGGCGATTTATTCCAATACTGGACGATAGAATTATTCCATCAGTGAAACTAATGTTTAAGTGAGTCAACTTGGCTCCGCCCCAGTTCCTAACTCGAATTGTCAAAGAGCAGAGGACCATGACACGGAAATACTGGCTAATTTCTGCTGACCTTGTTGTGGATACTAGCATGTGATGTTGGCCGATCAAAAAGGGCTCATCGAGAAATCTAATTGCGAAATTAACCATGTGGTCTCCCACAAGTAAACATATATGTGACACCCGTAGCGTACATTTTGATTGGTTTCGTATTTACACATTTATGTAGAAAATAAACAAGACACCCTTACGTGGAAATAAAAGGCTCATAAAACGATTCAAGCCACCGAGTGGATAGCAGTATCTCTTCAATTAGACCTAATCTTCTTCGAGTATTTTCTACTCCCTGTAAAGTGTTCCATTCACCGTTTAAATCATAAATTAAACATTTTGACATTTACTAGAAGTCATGAAATAACTTAATTTACCTGAAGGACAGTAATATCTCTTCAATGGAGTTCCATAACTGTCTTCCCCCTCCTGCTCCTCCTCATCATCCGCCGTTCCATCTAGCTCCTCTTCATTATTCCCCTCACCACGACTCACCAACTCACGAGGGGTGTGGGAGATGAAGCACTGATTTCCATCGGGCAAAAGCTTGTCAATGGCGTCATGACGGTAAATGCCGTCGGGTTTGCAGAGGATGAAAGCCGCACGAAGGTAGTAGAACATGTGATGGGCTTTGGTATTGGGTGCCGGAGAGAAGTGAGGTGGACAGGTCTTGCCCTCCACCAGAATGCTTGGAATTAGTGCTGGGAGGGAGGGGGAGGAGAGGAGAAGGGGAAATGCAGTCTCTTATGCTTATTGTAGGGTCAAGGTCAATCAGTCACGCGAGATGGGAACCACTCCGACTCCACTAGCGAGTCAGACAGCTATCATCCACGCACACGTCGTATCCTCGTCGAAGTGAAATGAGGCAAAAATACCAAGACACGCAACTCACTTTTGTTGGGCTGGGTTGATGGTGGTGGCGGTGGTTCCTCATACTCATAGTACGCGCACATCAAGGTGTAGTACCCATAGTCCAAAAGCGTAGCCGTTAGATTGGACGGTCTATACGTGCCCATGGTAAAGATCTTTCGACGCGTTCCATTCACCGGTGGACAGCGTTCAATAGAGAAGAAAAGTGGTGTGTCTCTGGACACCGGAGTCGTTGGACTGTCGTTAAGCATCGAATCCTCAATGGGTTGTGAAAGTGATCCATGCGACTCCCCATGGATCCAGGGTGCCAGGGGATTCGATCGAGGGTGTGTAGATTTGTAGGCCACACTGGATCGTGGAAACTTGGTTCGAAGTTCAGCATGGGAGCCATTGGTGCAGCAAAGAGAGAGCCAAATAGATGTGAAGCCCTCTTGACGAAACATGCTGAATTTTCCCTTGGCTTTCAGTTTGGTACGCATGAAGGTCCTTTTCATATCGAAGCCTGGAAATGAATGGGAGATGCAAAAGCCAACTGATACAGGAGATCTACTCCTCCTCTCCCCTTGATTATGCCTAACTAATTGACATTAACTCGACACAGTTGACATCTTTTGTCCTCTGGTTGGGACCTCCAAATTTGAAGGGGTTTAAAGCGGAATAAAAAGCGTTCCTGAACCACTCCACCTTGCAGGAAGGTGGGAAAATTTCGACAGCATTCCATTCTCTTAACAAGAGGTAATATAGCTTTATAGAATTGATTTGTCTGAAGGTCCATGAGTAGAGGGCTGTCCATATTCCACAATTTAAAAACCATCTAGGAGAGTGCGCCCAATACCCACCAACACCGATCGCTGATCTGTTGAATTTGTGACTCACCTTTAGGACAGGTCTCGCGGTTCTGATTAAGTAGAAACATACAGAAACTCCTGAAACGACCTTTCTCCGTATTTCGCAGTCCCTTAGCGGAGAGTACACAGTAGACTGTTGAAATTTCACCCTGTGGAGAGGTGGTCTTCCCCACTTGAGTCAGGAAGCCCGGTGGACATTCATCTCCAAAATCCAGGGGCAGCCCTATGTGACTTGAGTGATCTCAAAGAAGAAAACAGGTAAGGTATTTATCGATACGTTAAGAAAACCCGCAATCGGGGTCAAAGGTCAACATGTAAGCTTCGTTAGTGTCACTCGATTTGCTCTAAACACTGACTTAGAAGGACCCATGAAAACAAAGCTATGCGAAGCTGTATGACAGGAGCGATGTCTATTGGGCACTTCTTAGGATGGGCATTTCTGTCTCGTGAGTCGTCCCCACCTACACACTGAGCATCCCACCTTTAAAGTCAAAATGGGGCCAAAAGAGGCGTCAACAAGGCGAGATGCATAAATTTGTGTGGACAAAAACTTTAAGGCTCCCTGACACTTTGCTCTAACCTGTCAGCAATGTTTTGGAAGGATTGTATATACCCAAAGGCGTCTGCCAAATGTAAACAATGCAAACGACCCGCTTTAGTCAGCCGCCGCCACACATTGCTCTTGTTTAAAATTGTGGGGAGAGAAAAAAAACAAAAAACAAAATACTGCACTTTTGTCCACAGCATTGTGAAATTTGTGTGCATGTGCTGGTAAACATGTGAATGCGAACGCAAACGGTTCTCCGAACTCATGTCTTTTTA